GGCTTTGGGTCCCCCTTTGCACTCACAACACGTTGAACTGCAGCAGTTGCACGGCCAGGCTCTCGCAGAAGCCCTCCACGGCGAACTTGGAGGCAGCGTAGACGTCATTGAAGATGATCCCTGTGCACCCAAAGGGGTTGAGCTCGTCGAGGACCCCCCCACCTTTGGGTGCTGAGCTCAATGGGACCCCCCCAGCTCACCCTGCAGCCCCATGACGCTGCTGACCACCACGATGTGGCCGCTCTGCCTCCTCTTCATGTCGGGTAACACGGCCTTGATCATCCTCACGGCGCCGAAGAAGTTGGTGTCGAAGATTCTCTTCATCTCCTCCACGCTGATGCTCTCCACCGGCCCCACGTGCCCCACACCCGCATTGTTCACTGAAGCACGGTGCAGGGGGGCTCAGAGAGCCCCATAAGCGCCCCATAGGTGCCCTGAACCCCCCCAAACTCACCCAACACGTCCACCCGGCCCCCCGGGATGCTCCCCATGCACTCGGCCACGGAGCTGTCGCTGCACACGTCCAGGCGTTGGATGCTCAGTGTCTTTCCCAGTGCTGCTCCCGCTGCTTCCTCTAGTTTCTCCTTCTTCCGTAGGTCCCGCATGGTGGCGATGACTGGAGGGGAGCCCCGAGCCCGTCACGGGGACCCCAAAGCCCCGAGGGTCAAGCCAGGACAGCGTTCCCTAAGCTGCTTTGGTAACATGGAGCTTAATCCCTGCCCTGGGCTAATCCGTGCGCTGGGGTCAGTGGGAGGACAGCAGGGTCATGGATACACGCGTGGAGTGATGGATACACACGTGGAGTCATGGATACACACGTGGAGTGATGGACACACACGTGGAGTCATGGATACACACATGGAGTGATGGACACACACGTGGAGTCATGGACACACACATGGAGTGATGGACACACACGTGGAATCATGGATACACATGTGGAGTGATGGACACGTGCAGTCATGGATACACATGTGGAGCCGTGGATACACATGTGGAGTGATGGATACACAGATGGAGTGATGGATATACATGTGGAGTGATGGACACATGGAATAATGGACACATGGAGTGATGGACACACACATGGAATGATGGACACACACGTGGAGTGATGGATATACACATGGAGTGATGGACACAGATATGGAGTGGTAGACACATGGAGTGATGGACACACATGTGGAGTGATGGATACACACATGGAGCGATGGACTCGTGGAGTTATGGATACACACATATGGAGTCATGGACACACATGGAGCAATGGACACACACATGGAGTCGTGGATACACATGTGGAGTCATGGACACACACGTGGAGCGATGGACACACACACGGGGACACGGAGAGCACACACGTGTGTGGGAACACACCGTGTTGTCCGTATCGCTATGGGGCTGCCCCATAACCCCAATTCTACTCCTATTGGGGACCCCTTCGGGGTGTCCCCCCCCCCAGCCCATTGCCCGTCCCGGAGGGCTCCGATGCTCACCCT